AATTTTGATCAGTACGTGAGCAATGTCTAGGTTTAATTAAGTTCAGAGTAAGTAATACAGTCCCCTGACTCCCCTGCTCACATCCCAGACAAGCGTCTGTCTGCAAGAGGCTCCCTTGCTACCGTAACTATGACAACCGAAGTCACATGATCTCATTACAGACAACTTAATGGTCTGCCCTGTTTCAATATTTATGTCCACATAAATGACAGTTCCGTCAATATGATGGACAACAGTTCTCATGACGTTGCATGATTAGAATAATGCCTTCTGTAGGCCTAGATCAGATCTAAGCGGCGATGGAATGTTTATCATGTATATACGGTGACATTATCGCCAAGAACGATGATCGCTGGAATTATGTGACCTGGTTTATGGACTACGAACAAAGATTTATCGGAGATGGATGGGTATGGCGCTGTCCAACTACGCATACGCAAGAGTGTGAAAATTTAGTTTCTTTAATCGGAAGAGATTTGAAAAACAAAACCTCAAAGACAGAAGATCCCAGGTTCGAGTCCCAGTTGAGGGACTTTTTTTCCCACTTCCTTTTCTTTAACGTTATTGATATATAGGCTTAATTATAGCATTTTTAGTTGGTTGGTTGAGTGGGTGGGTGGGCTTTTGGTTGGGTTTTTGGTTAAAATCCGGAATAGCCTAATAAAAGAGTATGACTGTTTGGCGACATACAGGGGTCTGTAGTAAACCGAGCGAAAGGCCCACCCATCCAACCAAAGAAATGTCGCAAATATTCGAGCATACACACGATTACCTGACGAAATGTAAGAAGAGACACTTCGGAGGTTATTTTTGGAAGTTCGTCGAAATTCCAAACACTCGGCGAATTTCAAATCTTCAACACATGCTCGATACTATGGCATCCATAATCACATTTTCGCCATGATTACTATTCAAACGAGATAATGGATACGTTTAGATCACAATAATTGAGTGATGCCTGTACTGTAATTAAAGGGACTGTTGTGCGTCACAACCGTTTCCTAAATTGCAATTACGGAAGGGGGTTTTGGAGCGACACTAAAGCCGGGCACTCTAAGCCGAAGCGATTCAATGGACGAACAACGCGACGCGCGCGCATCGTTTTCAATGACAATCCGTTCAGACTGTCAAAAAAAAAATCAACAGATGGCCTCGTCGCGTCGTCTAGCGCCTTCGGGGAGCGGAGTTAGTTCGTCGGCCGACGGTCGTAAGACGCAGGTGTCCGGCTTTAGGCCTATACTTAGGCCTAATAATATGATATCATAGGAATTAATGTTATGTAATCTTAAATGAAGGATTTAAGAGGAATTTCTATATTGTATATTTGTGAGGACAAGAAGACACAATCCAATCAGAAAATGGCAGTGTTACAAAATCGTCCCATTTCGACTAAAACCGTACGTTTTGCTAAAATAAAATTGTAATCTTAAATGAAGGATTTAAGAGGAATTTCTAAACTTAATGTGTATATTTGTGAGGACAAGAAGACACAATCCAAGAAGACACAAAAAAGCGACTATGTTTTATTTACATTTAATCAACATCATTTTCATTAAATGTTGTGATTTATGCCAGAAATTATCCCCTAATGAATACCTGTAATTAGATATCGTCAAAAGAAAAACAGAGGTTCAGAAATAGTCCAATTTAGACAAAAACCGTGAGCAATTCTTTCATTCAATTTTTCAGAGGTGCACAAAACATATTTGCATGAGTCCGAAGGTGCCGAAAAACACAATACCACAGGGAAATGGCAGGGTAAAAAAAGCCTTCTTTAATTTCGACATGATCCGTAGTTGCCGGCGAACACAAAACAACAGGGAAAACGGCATGGTCAAAGTATCGTCCAATTTCGACAAAAACCGTGAGCTTTTTTCCGTGTTTTTAAAAAATTCGACAGTTTTTCATTTAGTTCTTTTTCTCTGTTGATTCTTCCATTCGAGATCTGTAGGCCTAGGTTCACAGAACACCTTGGTATGATGATCCGTGGTGTTGGAGAACACAAACAACCACAAAATGGCAGGGTCAATCAGTCCTATTTCGACAAAAATCGTGGGCAATCCCTTTGCGTTTTTGCCATAATTTGGCTATATTTTAAGGGGTCAGTTTTCTGCTGATTCTCTTCTATTCGAGAGTCTGTGGTGCCACATAACACAGCCTATGATCCGCAGGTTTCATTGAGGATAAAGCAACTGGAAAATGCAGGGTAAAAAATGGGCCAAATTCGACAAAAACCGTGCCCTTTGCCTTTTTGCCAAAATTAGGGTTATCTTCGCCTAGTTGTATCCTCGCTGATTCTTCCATTCGAAGGTTGGTAGGTGCACCACATTCGTATGACCCGTAGTGAACACGAAAGAACCGGAAAATTGCAGGGTAAAAAATATTAGTCCAATTTCTACAAAAACCATGAGCTGCCCGTTGCGTTTTTGCCAAAATTGAGATATTTTTCACCAACGTTTTTCTATTGATACTTACATATGGTAGGTACTCAATGATCATGAAAATAGCGATTGTGTTTAAATTACCTTGTTTTACATCATTGTCCTAACATTAAATAGAAATGCTGTAAATGATGCCAGAATAAGGTAAATAATGGATTGATTACATATTGCCTGAATTACAATGTTTCAGTTCTAGAAATGTCCATGGTATGAATCAATCTTGTCTGGCATTAAACATATTCAACTTAATGTCTGTTATTTCACAAAGTGTTTTGGGAGTGTTTTACATATTAATTTACCAAATACGTATTAAATAGGGAGACAAATAAAAAGGTACGATTTATAGTTTAACCGTCCTTTGCCACAATTATCCTTACAGTACTATCCTGCTGTTCGTTGCTCAGATCTTGTAGACCTCTTCCAGTTCGCATCAGTTGTTGATCTGATCAAACGTGCTGGTTCAAACGAACAAAGTTCGAATTTCAACTGAGGAAAATTGTGTGTTTATATTACGTGATCCCATGGAGCTTTCGAGATACGCCATGGTGACTGCAAGCATAGAACAAGCAGACTATTCATAGGACTCACCTGTTAACTAAAATAACAACGGTTCAGATTATTTTTTTTTTAGCTCAAAGGTTTCATGATAAACGTGTTCGAATATTGCATCACAATTCTATTTCTAATTTAGACATTCCAAGTCGGGAAAATCATACCAGATGTAAAAATCATCATCCCACCACGACCTTCGGGCCTAAATAACCGGATAAATAACTGTCTCTTTCATTACCTTGAACTTCATAGTAAATTGTATCCAAATAAGAAATGGTGTTACATTAGTGAAATTTGAATTATCACTGAATGATTTTCAAATTGCTAATGCTTACAATTCACCGTCTTGTCTCTATCTACTGCTTTAAATATTAATGGAGTTAAAATTGTTATATTAAACAATTATATTAATTATTGTTTATTAATATTAATTTTATTATTATTATTAATTATATTAATTATTATTATATTAATTGGTATTGTTATTATTGTTATAATATTGTTTATTGTTATTTTTGTTTCTATTACATATAGACAGGAATCAATTAAGTCTTAAATTATTTGAAAAAATCCTTAAATAATAAATAATTAAATAATAAGTAAATCCTTTAATAATAAATAATTATGAAATTAATAATTAAATAATAAATAAGAAATGGTGTTACATTAGTGCAAGTTGAATTATCAATGAATGGTTTTCAAATTGCTAATGCTTACAATTCACCGTCTTGTCTCTATCTACTGCTTTAAATATTAATGGAGTTAAAATTGTTATATTAAACAATTATATTAATTATTATTAATTAATATCAATTTTATTAATATTATTAATTATATTCATTATTATTGTATTAATTGTTATTATTGTTATATTGTTTATTGTTATTTTTGTTTCTATTACATATAGACAGGAATCAAATAAGTCCTAAATTATTTGAAAAATCCTTAAATAATGCATCTTCTATGTAGGCCTATTTATGCATAGATAGAGGTGCTAGGCACATGTTCATCCCTTTCCTTTTCGCTGCTTTTTCTGTATTGTTATATTTCTGTTTACTTTTGCCCGTGCGTGCAGTGATGAAGCATAATAAATGATAAATATACTGTAATACTACAATATTAGGAACGGGATTTAGATGTGCATTTAAAAGAAATTATCTTGGTTCTTAAGTTGTATGTTAACATCATAGCCTGAACCACTCCATAGCCCATCAACAATGCAAGCAATTTAATGTTTTCCCTTTTTAAATTCTAAAGGAGTCTTCCAAAAATACTACAAAGCAATCATTAAAATGTATTAATGGTATTGAATTGCGATATGAATTCATACCGCGACTTTTGCCAAGGGAAATAAGGTGCTTTAGCAATGCTCCTCTGGCCATTAGATCCGTAATCAAACCAGCACAAAGTGCTGCCTACTCCACTCCCTTTGTGGAGTAATCCCCAATCCCACTTACAATACAACATGGACAAATGCATACAATGCCAAAAAACCCATCAGGTGCCCAGTTGTACTAGTCCTCAATCTGGGTGGATAGAGACAAACTACGTAAAGTTTATTCAAGGACAGCAAATAAAAAAAGGAAACCAGAGATGTCCGAAATTGTGGGCTGAGTGGGAATGATGTCCCTAAAAGGGCAGGCCCGATCGAGAGACAACACTAACCTAAGGCCATGGCCCCCGGTGGCATGCCCCCTGGGAATAACCTGTGAGACGTTTTGGAAGATGGAACAATTTTTTTTTCTTTTTTTTTCTTTATTTTCTGAAAGGGGGGGGGAGAGGGTGGTGGTGGTGGGAGAGGATGGTGGTGGTGGGAGAGGGTGGTGGTGGTGGGAGAGGGTGGTGGGAGAGGTTAAATCCCCACTGCCAACCCTGACCTCAAGATTGAGACACCGCCAAATGCTACCATATCACCAGCACATCTGTAAGGACGCCACAGTAAAATTTGTGTTTATTGTACTATGGTATATGGTATTAAGCTGCAAGGATGCACAAACATTTCAACAATTTTTCTTTTTGAATTTTATTTCTTTCGACATCTTATCACAAATACATCAATTTTTCTGTACTACCAGTTCGCCAAGATATACTTCAAGGAGAATGAAATTTGTACAGATGCACTTGCAACATCAAAATACACATTTCATGACACAAACATTGTGTTCACTCTTGAACAAAAAAAAAAACAAAAAAAAAAAACTTTGTGAACATTTTCTATGTAGTTCTGTCCAATTTTCCAACATAATTTTCTGTACAAACATCGAATAAAACCATTGCTACTTCTACCTAATAAGGGACAGACTTGGCCAAAATCCACCGAATGGTATTTAATCGGCGAGAATTTAGCCGGGTTTGAATCTATAATTGGGACAATAAACAAACGTTTGATAACTGTTACTGTCAGTAAATCCCCATTTTTTTTGGGCTCTCTGGGAGAACAGTAATTTGTTACTGAAGAGGAAACAAAACAAATAAATCAACATCATCACCATTATCATTATAATCATTATTATAATTATCATCATCAACTACCACCATCATCATCATATTATCAACATGGCACTCTCATACATCATAGTTGGAAGATGTTCCATAAATTACACTATTAAAACAATACCGATAGTACATACTCCAAGTATTGAAATGCATGCCATCATGTTGTGGATCCAATATTTTAACATTAATTATCATCATCAGGAATACAGATTAATATGACAAATTTGCATTGTTACTGTAATTAACAACAAAGATGTTGCATTTAATAAAAGGTCTGTATATTCTGTCCTTTTCTTATTACTCTCAGGTCATCATAATCCTACACTAATGCTAGTGTATATAAACATAAAAGATATAAATTATCCATAAATTCACACTAGGTTTAAGCATATTATTAGAAATTTCTAGGCAATTACTAATTCAGAAAGAATTCATGGGGATAATTTCTATAGCACACAATTTAATAACTCTATATTATTTTTTGTATCCTTTTTATTATAATTATAATACATACTTTTAAAACAAGGTCTGCAAATGGACAGTAATTGACATTTATAGCATAGTAGTAACAGTAAACATATTGAAATTCTTTTAGAAATTTTATAATATATTAACACTTCTTTTTATTGTTAAATGCCTAATGCAATGGGAATTAAATAAATCACATGAAGTTGTCATAATAAAATAATTAAGCCTGTACATAAATATAAGCTAAATACAGCACTGTGTACAACATTTGAATTAATTATTTTAACAAGTTTTATCAAATTTTAGTTGAATACTTTTGGAGAATGAAGATACTACCATTTTAAAGTATTCTTGTGTGGAATTATTTTACCTCCTTTTCCACTTTCATGGCATATATCTATGGAACATCTATAAAGCCAGGTATACACTAATAGACCTTTGTCTGTCAGACACTCGCCAATGTTTGAACAGAATTTGTTTTATAGTGTTTCGTAATGAAGATTTAGTCAGATAGTAAAACAATTTTCTACTTCTCAAGTCTGATCAATGTTTATTATTCAATATTTAACACAGAGGTTCCTTACAAGGCACAGCCTCAGCCTCTGGAGCAAAATGTCTGACAAACAATAACTTGATCAGACATTCCTAGTTGTAGTCCCATCAATAAAAACAATTTCAATATGGTCAAAAGTACAGTACAGTATTTCAATATGGCTTTTTTTTTATTCTAATAAAAGATTTATATTCTCAGAATGTCATTCATATTATCTGGATATACAGTAATAGATGCATCTCAATATACAGCAACATTTTTGCTGAAGATCACATCCACTCCACAATCAACAAATAGTTTGCTTCACAAACATTAATTAATGATTGCAAGACATGTTGGAAAGATATAAATAATTACTGCATCCTTAATAATAAAATATCCTTTTGTCAATGATAGTGCAAAAAGTTCCATAACTTTAATAGAACCTAAATGCAGAATTTGTTTAGTCAGATTTTGCAATGTTTGAATAGATTTAGTAGGACTTTGTCAAACAATCATAAACTTCCAAAGATTCAACAGACGTGTTTTATCAGACAAAAATCTCATAGTGTATGCAAATGCATGTTTTTCTTTTCAAATATAAAAAGTTTAAGGTGATCATGATTTTGAAATATATTCCAGATAAAAGTATACAAGTGCTACTGTACAAGCAAACTCCTTCAATTCACCCAATCACAATACTCTCCTCAAAAACATCCAAGTCTATAATAACAACATATCTTCATATATATAGATACAGTATATACAATATATATATATTTATATTCTTCTTGCGCATAGCTCAATAAAATATTCACATCTAGGATTTTAAAACTCATCGATTATATGACGAGTCAATTTGCAACTTAATATTGCTAGGAAGACACAAGTGGCTGTTGAGTCATAAGCTTAGGAGATGATGGTGGAGAGGATTTCGTTGTCATGTCGACTGTGTCTTTAATTTGGTTCCATTTATCTCCTAACGCTTTTGCGAAATGATCGTCGACTGAGCCTGTGATTAATAGATTCTTGGTGAGATCCGGCGAGGTTGACGGCGACGTTATTGCGTTGTTGTAATCTTTTCCTAAACTTCTACGAAAATGCTCTTCAATTGAAGGATCACAACCACCTGAGAACAAAAAAAAAAAACCCCATCATTTTAGTAACATTATAAACCATTTCTTTTTTTTGACAGGTCTCCCTCTAATTAAAGACCTCAAATAATAGAGCCCACCTCAATTAAAGACCAGTTTTTTGTGGTCCCAAATTAACAATGTCTTATCTTTTATATTACTAAAGCTGCTAAAATCACGGAAACGCCGGTTCCAAAATTGGTCTTTAATCAGAGGGAGACCTATATTACCAACAAGTGGAATCATTTTTAACATTTAAAAAAAAAATGAAACTTAATATTTAGTATTTGACTGTTCAGTGCATTTTCCTATCACCTGCTGTTACTTGGACTTTGGAAAATGATAATTGATCAGTTCAGAAGTATTTGATGATCCTTAATAAATTCTTGAGATTCTTCCAACTGACTGAAATATTTGGTAAACTTGAGATGTAGCATCAAGCTGTGAAAGGTTTTTCCATGTAATAATAGGTCTACCTACACTACAGGACATTACATCACTAAAATGAATTCTGCAAATATTTATGTCAAAATTTTTCCCTGTAAAAATTAAATTATCTTCTTACAAATTATTATATTTGTTTGTAACTGTAAAATTTTCTGTTAAAACTAAAATAGGATAAAAATTGTTATTTTAAAGTATCTGCATCGAGCTAATATATTTGATTTGTTAGCACTTTTGTTTTATATAAAAAATATTATATTATGATCACATTTACATCTACAAATCAATGTATTTGTAACTGTAAACCTTTCAATTTGGTATACCGAATAAATGTAGCTATAAATTGTTTTGTTTGTTTGTACTTTAATTCACCTAAATAAATTGAGCAAAAATCTGACTTAATTTGTAAAATTATAACTCCTCAAATCAACTGTACCCTGTAGGTCTAAACGCAGTTCGTAATTCTAATAACTCCTTTAAATTGGTTAATAATTAAATTAATGTTGATTTTCCAGATAAGTGATAATAAATCGATCTGAGCATTATTTGAGAAATCTTGATTCTTTTTGAGCAATTTAGTATTCTGACTAAATATTTCAAAATTTTTCAAAATTTGTTGTCTTTAATCAGGAAACATATAGGGATATGTAATTTAATTAATATCAAAATACTATGAATAATCTTTAAAAAATATTAAAGGAAATGGCAGAAAATCCAAAAATGTTTAAGAATAAATCTACCCACTTAAAAAAAACATTACATCAGGCAAGTTTGATATACAGTAATAGGGCTACAAAATATGTTACTAAAAATTCATTGAATAGGAAATTCTCATGAATCATTTTAAGATGAAAATAATATGAATTTCTTTTAACCACCATGCTGCTAGGAGTGATCACAACAGCATTACCAGATTACAACAACTTTAAGGAGAGTATCAATTTTAAGCTTTGTGTGGGGTATGTTGTCAAGACAACGTCTACTCCAGCTGGCCCTAAGGGTACAATCTTGAACCCCAACAGTGGCTGGCAATCAAAGAAGGTAATATGGTAGGATTAAAGGGTCAACTCAGGCAGCCTATCAATGATTTTGGAATGGCAAGCCTTCAGCACACAGGTTTTAGATGCCAAAACAGCCACAGGTTCATTCTAAAAAAAAACCAACTAAAATATACACACTAGCCTCAGGTATATTAAACAATCTCAACTTTCAAATGATTTCTGCACATGACAGAATTCTGATTTTTATGCCGTAACGGCCTTGGCACGAGTCCAATTGTCAATTTTTATAAGCCCAGCTTAAATTTAACATGAAGAGTTTTGCACATTCATTTCCTTTAAAAATGTTTAATCAAATTATTGCTCTGTTTGGTCACAAACTGTCATTTTCATATCAGAGTAACTCAATCCAAAAAATTTCTACACTTTAAAATTAAAAAAATATGACTGTAATTGTGTAAGTCCACAGGAAATTGGCAGTGTAATATAATACCACTATTGTTTACAAAAGCATGTTTTTGAAAAAAAATTGCTGTAAATTCAAAAACATTTCCATGAAAATGCAAACATTAATGTTGGATAGGTAAAACAGTACAGTACATCTACTTTTGGCAATTTGGAAATCATCCTACAATTTTCCCAGAAATTCATAAACACAAGTTTTCGTAGAATATTGGGGCGGAGTAACGATATCGAAAGATATTTCAGCCATGACATTTCATTATTTGTTGCTAAGTAGACTCGGCAAAACATTTTGCAGACTTCATAAAACCTCTGCGATACTTTCGAAGTACAATATTGTATTTGAAAATATATAAAATCTGAAAAATGTTTGATGGGTGACAAACTGCCTGATATAAACTGTTTATTTTTTGCAGATAGTCGGCAACATAAGCTTGCACTCTATATAATGATTATGCCTTAAATTGCAAATATCTTCATAAAATTACCAGCTTTTAAAATGTGTATTTGTCTGAGCCTCTCTGAAATCCCTGATGAGAAAATTGTGAAACTGTAGCAAAAATAAGAAACAATAGTTGATTTTCCAGAATTTTTGCGGGAATACTTGTAATTATCGTCTACAATAAAAAACTTACCTGAAGTAATTTCTCTTCGGAGACTACCATTTGACGTAGTGACAAGCCCATTTTTCCGTAAGTATGTACGACCGCTCTCTTCTCGGTGTTGAGGTGGCGCGACAGCTATCACAGACGGCCTAAGTTGTTTGGGTTGATCTGATGGGGGGTGGTAGAGGGGAGGTGGTGTCCATGTCGGCAACATCGGGGTAATAAGTGCTGTTGCAGATACTTCTGGTATTGACGATACATCGTTGCCAACTGGTAAATCTAATTTCATCGTTGAGATTACTCTGTTGACAGAAAAAAAAATAGTTGATACTAAATTTTAAAAAAAAATCAGTTACACTGCACTTTAATTTTGGCAAATTGTCTAATTTATGATTTATTTTAGGTAGGCACAAGGCAATGAATACACCGAATTGTGATGCATGGGCAGTGAAGTGGCCTTTGATCTTCAGAGAAATCCTGTTTCTGTGGATTGGAACCCACAACCTTGGAATTGGAAGGCAACCATCATAACCACAACGTTATTCAATTACAGTACTCTCTACTATGCAGTTTACAACATATTTTCAAAATATTGTGGTTAAAAAAAGATAAATTGGGTTAAAGTATGTGTCTATTAAACAATTAAAAAAATATATAAATAAAAAACTTGTGTGAAAAAGAAAGGACAAAGAAAACTCATGTAAAATGTTCCATTGAAATGGAAAAGTATCACAGAAATGATGATGATTAAAAATATAAAATTGGAAAAATTCACTTAAAATTGTATGTGGTTGACCGAGACTATTGCAAATATTTCTCACTGACCTTGGCAAATACCATACAATCCAATTAGTTTAGAACAAAATCTGAATGATATTTGCCCTTAAGCATTTTTGTCTGAAAGTCACTATCTTTACAGTTTGGGAAAGAAAATGCTTGCCCAGTTCGAAATATTTGCACTGTTGGTAATTCATTAAAACCTCCCATTTATTAATAGCTGTGTACTGTATGCAATTGATCTCTTGATACAAAGTGCTTAAAATAGCAAAATTTTAGTTTACAAGTGCTGTGCTGTATTTAACATGGAGGTAGTAGTATACAGTACACAATTTTTTTTTCCGTACGAAACATTTACAAGAAACTCCACTCGGGCTGTCTCGACTGAATCGACCCGAAAATCTCATTTTCCAGAATTCAGGAGGTCAAAAGGTCATCAACAGATAAACGTCTACAAAAAAACTTCTGAGAGAACGCCCGTCTGATTTTTAAAAAATACATTGATGTTACTGTGCTAATACTAATGGGTTGTTTAAAATGACAATATTTGATTGAGCTGCACGAGTAATGAAAAGTGTATTTTAACTTGAGTTACATACTGTGACAATTTTTATTTTTTAGTTAGGTCTGGGTTTTGCATGATTACCTAGGCCTACTAACTACTAAAAATATACGCTTTCTGGGGAAAGCACAAAGAGTAAGGAAAAGCATGTTTCTTCATCAAATGAAACAGGGTGACAGTTATTTTCAAATTAAGAGAAGAGCTGAAAATAGGCAGCTAGCTCTAACATACTGGATGCCATAAGACCTGCCAAAATGGCAGAGCAGCAATGAATGTAAATGAGGCCTAAGCCTAGTTAATAATATTAGGCATACATGCCGAAAATCTTGCCTTAGCGAATTCGGTCCTGCTACCCGACCTACTCGGGTAATCGATTATCCAACCCCGTCACAAGTGACAGGTCAGGTGACAGATTCACTACTTACCTAAAATTTATTACCCTTTGCCAGCGGCCTGTGAATGTCGCGTACTAGTTTATTGTAGTTAGGCCTAGGAAGGTTAGTGATCTAGAGTGAGCAAGAGATATTTCGTTTACAATGGTCAGGCATGGCAAACGTAACGAATAAGCCTACAATCTAAGCTACAACAATTAATACTCTCTTAACATATTCCTACATTTTCAATAAAAAGAAGTTATAATCGGGAGCGCATGTTTAGGTGTGGTGTGATGTCAAAAAGTGCATTGGCAGTCCGTAACGAACAGAAGCAACTACTGAATTTCCCGCAAATATTCTTTACTGGGAATTATTGTCTATACCACAGTATAATTAAAAAGAAAATACAAATTGTTTTTCATACCTAAAAATCGGGAAAATTACGATGCATAACAAACAAAAATAATAAGATTGAACTGAAGCGCCTACTCCTGGTATCCCAAGACCGAACCATTGTGTGCCTGGTGAAGCTTATTATAATAGTATTTAAACATGTGTATTATAACGGTTAGTGCATGTGTTTGAATATTAATATAATATTTAAACATGTTTATTATAACGGTTAATACACATGTTTAAAATGTGGTAATGTTTAGGCATACATGTATTTATAGTTATAATACAAAATGATTACCCTGCCACAAAATGGACGGTTCTAAATCGCCCACGACTCAAGCACATGGGCTTCTCGTTCGTTCTTGACGTTGTGCACTGGCCATTTGAGCGAGTAATCGTCTGTAGATCGTATGCAACGAAGATACAGAATATCAGTTATAAAATCAATTTAGCATTTGATTTTAATTCTAACTGTCAACTAAATATTCATCGCTCGATTCGGAGGCCCTATAAAATAGAGATTTACTACTCTCTGAGCCGAGATTGAAATACATCAGCTGTAAGCTGTAGAATAGCCCCTGGATAGCCGGGAATGTGAGTAAACATTGCTGTTGTACGCCACACGATCATAAAATAAATAGAATAGGCTAGAAAGAATCGTATTCTTATAAACACCAATACACCATGTCATTTTCAATACATATGTGTATTGAAAATGACCAAAATTGCCATCTTTGTTTTTTGAGAACTAATAAAATATTGATGCATCTTTCTGGCTAGTATTCTTCCGATCGCCAAGTAACGGTTTTACGTTCGCGAAATTCGTGAAAAAAGTAAAGTAAATCCACAGACGTACAGCTACTGTCTTTTTTCATTATGGTCGGATTTTGGTTTAAAACATTTTATGTTTTAAATAGTAACATTAGATTCAGAAATTGTGTATACTTTCTGAAATTTGACCATGATTGGAGCAGTACTGGCTGAACTGTGTCGATTTTCTCCTACTACCAAGGTCTTGTTTACTCATTGTGAAGGCCGTTTAGGCAGCATGGCAATTAGCAATCAATCATCCAACCCACCAGTGACCATTTCTTCTAAGGGGAAGAATTTCATCATGTAGTAATCTGCAGGTTCTTGATTACAAGGCTAGACCAAGTTAATTACATGTAATGCCAAAATTATTATTTATTATTTATTATTATTATTAATTATTGCTCTTTGTTTGACCTCTGAAAGGTCATTGTTTGTTAAAAAACAAGGGCCTAAGATGATGCGGAGTTTCCTTCTTTCGTTCTGCCGGGTAAAATCAATTACTTTGGGCGACGTTTGTAGACTAACCTATACATACCAACATCTGAATGTCGCGACGCTCGAGTATTACTATTCAGCATTTTTACTATATTTCTAGGTTTCCTATTTCTAAGTTTAATCGGCACATGTCTCAGCTAAAATATTTTGATGCCAATATTATTTACGAACCCAGTTAAACTTATTTACTAGCCTATTTCAGCGTGCTAATTATTGCATTTAGGCAATATAGACACTTTTTGACAAAAATGAAAAATTACAACTTTGTTACCCAATGAGAAGTGTTCTAATATAGACAATGGGTCGTGTCTCATTATTTGTATTATTTTATTATTCATTATTTTCACTTGACTCGCATAAATAATTTTGTTCGAAGAACATTTATATGCAGTTGTACTTCGCAGCACTTCACTTGCAATTTGCACTTTCTAGTTATGTTACTAAAACCTACCTTATAAGGGGAACATTAGACAATGGAGAAATTAGAAAACAATTAAAAAAAAAAAACGACGTTAAAGGGAAATAACACAAAAGATATTCCCCTAAGGGCTAGTTATATTAATTATAGGCCAGTTATTAATTATAGGCCCAGTAAATTATCTGTAGGTTCTTGATTACAAGGCTTAGGCCAAGGTAATTAATGCTAAAATGATATTATTATTATTATTATTATTATTATTAATTTATTATTATTATTATTATTATTATTTAACATTAATTGCATTACAAGGATTGGCCAAGTTCAAACGCCAGAATGGTATATTTTATTTATTATTAATAATATTTCTCTTATGCACTTTTTATTTCATGCTTCAATTATTTTTTCAAAATTTCAATCAATGTCATGTGAAGCGTGACTGTTGGTGTCAGCCTAGGACCCTAGGGACATAGGCCTAGCTTTAGGGAGGGGCCTATAGAGGACTTAACTCAGCCTGTAGTTAGGCCTATAGTTTATCCTCTTTCTCTCTAGCCTTGGTATTACTGTACCTATCTACACTTTATAAAAGGGGATACTAGCTGTTGTTGTTTTAGATATTATAGGCCTACTAACATTTAATAACATACAAGCAGGTCACAGTTAGTTACACACGTAGATCCCATAAATCCGTAAGATTTCGTAGGTCCTACCGTAGGTAAACATAAAAAGAGCAATAATGTAATAGTAAAACTCGAGCGTCACGACATTGCAAAGCGTCTGCTCTTGTTCCTCATATCGAATTCAGTCGAGTCAATCCGAGATGGCCCGAGTGAAGTTTCATGCAAATGTTTCGTACGGAAAAAAATATCGCATACAGTACCTCATACTCATGGAAGCCATTCTACATTAACACAAGATGATGATAATGTCATAAAATACTTTGTGACTTTAATTTGAACTCTATTAAAACCACAATTAGTTGTCCTTGAAAATTGCTCTGAAAGCCAGGCTATATAAAGCCTAATAAATACTGTATGAAATCTTATAATAATTGGGACAGTCAAACAGACAGCAATTTTGGATCTACCTGCACTTATAAATAAAACACAATCCTCAAAGTTATCCATCTCAATCTGCTTGAAAAAGAGGTGCAAAATACTGTAAATTATAGAGTATTGTTTGGACATTTGAGGAGAGTGATGGGTAAAAAATATTAGTTTATCACCCTATCTAGGCTGCAAAAGTGATAAGGGAGGCCTTTTTTTTATTTTTTTATTTTGCTAAAGCCAAAAAACACGCTTGGGTTGTTTGCTGGTGCCATTGATATTCAAATTAAAACAAGATAATACAAAAACTATAACTATATTAAATATTTAATTTAAAAAAAAGAGAATTTCTTGAAATTTTTTTTTCAGTAGGCCATACCATAGAAGACACTAATAAAATTTTAAATTGGGCCTAATTTTTTTAATTTTTTATTCTGATTTTTTGTTGGGGAACTGGTCAAAAATAAAGTTTTATTATAATTCAATTGGCGATCGGAGGATTTGCTAAACAAGGTATACGAAAGTCTTGCTTTAATCTCAGCAGAACCAAATGTTGTAAAAGTAGGACGGGATTTGGGGAGTGATGAGAGATTTCTTTACTACTTTTACATTCATGATCAATATAATACTTTTTTGTTGATATTTTTTGGCAGTTCTGTTTAGCAGTCCCTGTTTGGCACATAATAGTGTCTCACAAGACCTAAATAATTAGAGCTCTAGATAGAAATTTGTCAAGCACACTTTCAAATCATCAATGACCTTTAGTGACCTCCACTGACCATACTGGACAAGATCAACAGTGAACTTCACCAGGAAATTGGCAAAATCAGGTCCAGGTCCAAAGAACTGCTGATCGAAAGAAATTATGAACATCACCATCAAGTAAATAAAACAGACAGTTAAAGCTTTCCAGAAGATATTAATTTACTTAGCACTAACTTCTCATAGAAACACATCTGAAATTTGAGCTTCAAAATATGATAATTTTTTAGATTACTAATGTGTAATATTTGTAGGCCTATAGTAGACCACAATGACCTACAGTACATATTAAATCACCTTATTTTGTGAGCTAGTGTCTTTTCATCTAACCACCTTTGTGCTCCCATCTGCCCCCCCCCCCCACATTTTCGAAACTCTTTGAATATGCCAATGGTCGACCCTCTACTTTATACCCAAGTTTTATGTAGCAGCATTTCCTCATTTAAAAGCCCAGGGGCATGATTTATACGATTTCTACCAATACCTGTACTTCAGAAAATAATCAATTATTGGCTTCGGAAAAGAGAATCTGCTAAAAAATTGCCTTTTAATTGTAAGAGGGATCCCCCAGGTATAAACCACCCACAAAATATTATATTCCCAGAATGTCATTCATATTATCTGAATATACAGTAATAGATGCAACTCAATATACAGCAACATTTTTGCTGAAGATCACATCCACTCCACAATCAACAAATAGTTTGCTTCACGAACATTATTTAATGATTGCAAGACATGTTGGAAAGATATAAATAATTAATGCATCCTTAATAATAAAATATCCTTTTGTCAATGATAGTGCAAAAAGTTCCAAAACTTTAATGGAAACTAAATTTATGCAGAATTTGTTAGTCAGATTTTACAATGTTTGAATAGATTTATTTTGCATGTGCTATGACTCGAGAAAGCTTACTGTTGTTATTACAAAAAGGACAAAATTGGTCATAAGTATTCACTACTGTTATAACAAAACAAAAACATTATTTGTAGAATCATTTTTTATTAACTTGTTTTTCCAATATTAAGGTAAAAACCATGCGTACTAAAAATAGAAATCCCATGCAATTTGGGTGGTACCAGGATATTCTATAGTTTGTTTTTCTGACAAACACCAAAATAGCATTCATCAAGGTATTTGATGATATTTAGGATTATATGACTCATTTGATATCATCAACCACAAAGGTCAATCAAAGTTGTGGTTTCCAAACCTAATGGTGTCTGGTTCCTATAGGCTTCTAATTGGTCTGAACTCCAAATACCAAATAACTGGTAGAATAGAGAATGTAGAGTATTATAGGCCTATAGTGTGGTTATAATGATGCAGAAAATTGTTTTTACAAGTTATGTTCTAATTTAGAATATTGTAGCATAAATTTGATATTCTTGAGTCTTTACTGAACATACAGTATTTCATGTACCTAAATCCCTTTAAGTGCTTTCCAGATTATCACAATAGTCAGACACCAAAATAATGAAATGTGGTCTAGATTTCAAGTCAAGTCCGCATCTAAACCAACAGTAGCATTATAAAGACTTGCACCTCAGTAGGTTCCAAGGCTTTGAATCAATAAATATCATAAACGTACATACCAAGTACCTAGCCTATAGGCTCGGTAACTCTTCACACAGTGGGCGGTAACACAAGTTTACCTATTCTAAAAGCAACATCTTCGCAACCTAATTGAAATATTATCATGATATCAAAATCTAAAGACAAATTCTTTTGACCGTAAATCATAGGAAAAACATGCCACAACCGCAAAGTATGAATTCAATAACTTCTCCTCGAGGCAAAATATTGTATAGAAATTCTGAAACACTGAGAAGAATATTTTGGTATAGTTTTGCATATGTTGCACCTGGATTTGAATGTTCTATTTACATATATCGGTGCAGGTGTCTGCAGGCATGCTCTAATTACCCCAAGAAAGCATTTCACCCTGCTCCCACATACCTACTGCAGTAGGCCCACTATTCTACTGTAAAACATTTACTGAAAGTTGAAGAAGGCAACACCCTTGATACCCTCTTAATGCCTGTTTATACTTCAACGATAACGATAAAAGAAGCTAAAAAGTGATTGTTCATATAGAAAACAAGAGAAATTTTTACACTAGGACGATTCGATAATATATCGTGTATACGATAACAAAAAATTTAATAAATAAATTCAGATGACGTCATAATCATGGAAAAACGATAAAATCTTTTCCATGATTATGATGTCATCTGATTTGATTTGTCAAAATATGTTGTTATCGCTTAACTGATAAATCGTTATTGAATCGTTCTAGTGTAAAAACTTCTCTTATTTCTTTTATTTTCTACATGAACAATTGCTTTTTAGCTTTTTTATCATTATCGTTATCGTTGAAGTATAAACAGGCCTTTATACTGCAGATCATTGATGAGTAATGTCTAACTGATAAATCTATAAACTCCTATTGCATTGCAATAAAATAACATGTATTATTTTAATTTCTTTCTCTAACAATGCATCAAAATTGTATTACACCAAATTTGATTTATTATTTTTGATATGAATATTCTTAATTGATCAATTACCTTTTCAATGCATCATTTTGCTATAATTCTAATTTATTACCAATGTCAGAACCACATGATGACATCTGATACTGCCTAGCGCAAGTAAATGTCAGTTTTATTTTACTCACTCGCTTCTTGTTCTCTTATGAATAAATTATTGTATGCAAGGTAAATTATGTGTTCGAATGAATGTATATTCTGTAATAAATACAAAAAAAAAGATAAATTCACGTTTCAATGTTTAGATTGGTGGTGCATAATTGTACATTGCATCTCAAATATTGCCAGAAGATTTAGAGTGCATGTTTGTATTTTTCATTTCACTCAAATAATTCAAGTTAAAAAAAGCTAGAGTAAAACAGATCTCTGTGTTTGACGTTTGAGTGTTAAATACTATCCTAGAGAAAATACAATACAAGTACCCGGGATCTTGACTGAAGGGCTAGTCAAAAATACTTACGATTATTTGCACTAGTTGGTCCCTGGGTACAATTGCAGCCCACGAACTTACTATAACAATTTTTGCAATTACTGTAAGCGGAGGGCTTGTACTGAGTATGTACAGTATGGCAAACAGAATACAGGATAAATAACTTACGTTTGTGTACCCATGCATCTAGTGTTGCACATATTTGATACTGATCCTTTGAAGTGGCTATCGTCAAATTTCAGGGCTTGCGTTAACTCCCGTCGTTCCGTACTTCGTCGATGTCGGTTTAGACGAGTTGGAAGTTCTTTTGGAGAATCGGATCTCAATTCATTTCTAATAGTGGCATCACCTGCAATATAAAAATGTTATGTTCATTATTTGGAAGAGTTTAAAGAGCACTGTATTTGGTAATTTATTAATAAACAATAAAATGCACCCTATCGCTTCCCACATTGCGTATCATACAAGCAGCATAAAAGATATGATCTACATTATAGTACAGTATGCAAATACTTCAAAGTAAAAATGTTTAGATTTATGTGAAATGTGGTGTCTTAAAAGAAATATCAAGGAAAATGCATAATCCATAATAATAATATTATTTTAATGATAAAAGTATTCAATGAAATTGAATTACCAAGCCAGCTTTAATAGAATACTACTTAAAAAATAGTAAAATCAGTGAATAAATCAAAGAATCCTACAAAAATTATAATCATTCAAAATTAAACATCAGCAGAAAAATTTAACATCTCAGATTTAATGAACACAATTATAAATCATCACTCGGGCAGTGAAAATTTCATTAACTCTGCTGTGGTGCCATTAACTTACAAGTTCAAAGGTTAAAGGTGGAGGTTGCACATGGGTTCTACACTCAACTTGGCACATCTTCAGAACTGGGCTTGATATTTTCATGCCTCGTAAATCTTCTATCAAAGTCTAGAAGTGGTGCGTGACAAAATGCAGAAAGGAAGAGATGCCATTTAGGAAAACCTTGTGTGGTTTCCAGCTGAAATTACCGTTTTTCTACACCAGATATAATTTTTCCAGTCTATTTAAACGAAACTAATTACTGAAGCAAGTAAGCTAATTTAGGTTCATAAATTTGTGAATAATAAATCAACTATACAGTACGACCACACATGAGCAACAACTCACATTTTCGCTTTTTTTTTTTTTCAATTATAATTTCCTTTTCTTTAGAAAATTAATAGCCCATCTGATCTACTGTTAGCCAATTAATATTTCTTTTTGAATTTTTTTTTTTGTTACGTGTGGTATTTCTTTTTCCACCTGTTGCTTGAAAAGGTTTTGATAATGTATCCAAATAACCATAGAATATTATAACTTTGACACCTGATAAAACCCATCAATGATTTAAATTTCAATAGATAAGCACTATATTAAAGAGGAAATAATAACTTATTGTACAGTTAAACAAACAACAGAAAAACACTGCCAGTTATAGGTAAGATATAAACTCACCTAGTTGGTTTACAGTAGCAACTGCTTGTGCTAACCAAAAGCTTTAAACTTATTTTTGTTTTTAAATTTTAAAAATCTAAAATACACACTGATGACCTACAGATGACAAAAATTTTTTCAAAAAGCAACTGAGACGATGCATTGTAATTACTGTACATCCCATGATGCACCTCCTGTAAAATATAAAACAAACCAATATGGCTGTGATAAACCTGTTATGGGATGCAGCAGTAGGCTACAATATACAAATCTTCTAAATTTGTTTAATGTGGAATAGGGAAAATAACCCTTTTTCTCTTCCCGATGATGATAAATATGGTAGGCTTTAGGGAAATATAAAGAGCCCTCCAAAGAGCCATCCAAATAGAGACTACCTCCAATTAAACCACTTTTCTGTGACTACAATTCACAAGACCATGCAAACCTCGGTCACAAAAGTGGTCTTTATTTGGAGGGAGTCCTGTAACCCTAAAAAAACAAATAAAAGAGAACTCCTAAATTATCACTCCCTCCCTACCACCAGGTGGATGGAAGGACATAAGAAAGGAATACTGTATATGCCATGGTTTCCAGGTGAAGGAGAAAAATAATCTCATTTTTGAGGTGGTAATAAAACAATGATTTTTTGACATTTTTATAGTAAAAAAGATCCAAGTGTTTGCAGCATAAAGACATAAGCCTAACATAATATGTTAGGCTTCTATTTTGATTATAATTAATATAATTTTATAGCCAATGATTTCATTGGATATCAACACAATCAGCTGTGTGTATGAATCATACAATATGTCATTGAGCAAGTTATTTAATAAAATGTTGTTTACTCGCACTTAGCTATTACAAATATGCCATCACCATGGCATCCCTGCTAATTTACAGAAACATTAACCTCATCAAATAGCAATGAAACTGTACGTTGGAAGTCGGGCATACGCGTTAGATATGTTTCCGCTCATCTTACTTTGCACGGTGCCCGTGTAAAGCGACGAGTCACCCAGTTATCTGTGATTAGCATCCTGCTAGGTGGAGGATTGGCTGGTATGGTGGAGCGCTTCATACTCTAGTCTTCAGGCCACTTTCCCACGCTTCTTGATGTTCAAGGAATTTTGGCTATGCCAGGCATGGCTGGATAGGACTGATTCAATTTACTTTAGCACTGCCATCAAGTTAAGGAGAGTGATAGCTCAAAGTTCTTCAAGCCATGGTAGGAATTTTATAGGCTCTAAATGTCCTACATCAAATGCACCTTATGAAATAAACGAGCAGTTTGAATTCAAAACAATGTAAATTTATGCTTAAGGAAAAATTTGACAAAAAAAGGTCTTTAATGAAGATGAGCTGTACTTCCTCCTACACAAGATTGGAAATATTTTGTGGGGTAGGCTTTACCTGGGGAATTCCCTTTTTACAAAAAAGGTGACATTCCTGATTTATATTGACCTATAATAAGCAGGGATGATCTATTAAAATGCAGTTCATGACTAATTGAGAGCCAATAATTTGTTTTTTTTTCTGAGAGTATAAAAGCTGAGTTACTAATTACAATACCCAGGCCTTTTTGCCTAGGGAAACGATGGCATGTAAAATTTGGTATAAAGTAGGGGGTATATGTTTTCATTACAACGTTGAGAATACTGTACCCCACACACACACACAAAGTGGCATTGGCATATAGTATGCCAGTCCTGGATACTCAGAGACTTGATGCTTAAGGATGAATAATAATAATATAAATAACACGAATATTTACATAGCGCTCATTACAAAGGTGTTATAAACAAGATACACACAAGGTCTCACTAATTAAATTTCTGCAGCATCTATGGGTGTTTTGCGTAAAAGTTTAAATAAGGGAGGTAGTCCCAATGAAAAGGTGAAGAGGAAAAATAGGATATTTTTTCCGACCTGTAAAAAAAATTGGGGAAAAAAACCGTTGGGCCAATATGACTATCCAATAATTAAACAAAGATTATTTTATTTTTATGCTATACAATAATTTAAAGCTAAACATAAATCATAATATTTCAATTTTCACAAAATATCAAAATAAATAACAAACAATAACAACATTAAACGTTTCAAATCGGTTAATATTGTTTATGGTTCAATAAAAAAAAAAATTTAAAAAAAAACTTGCAGGTTACTACACCTTTCCTTTATGCTTTCATCTACTTCCTACCTAACTGGTTTCCTAAAAATCTCAAATTTCTAAACAGGTTAACAGCATTGATGCAATAAACAGGTAACTGTTTAGTCATAGGTAGTGCACTTAACTCATTACACATCATAAACATGTTAACAGTATGGTGCTACAGGTTAACAGGTCACAGTACTTTAACATCAATTTACTGCCTATTCAATGTAATTCAGCAATTGTAAATAAGAGATGTGTAGTGTGTACAGCACACGTAAGAAATAATAACTAATTTTCAGTAAAAAAAAAAAGCATTTTATAGTTTTTTTCACCTAGAAAATTTCTTACATTATTATAATAAATGTAATGTTAACAGTATGCTAACCAGGTTGAAACCATGGTTTTCAGTATAAATATAATAAATCTTCAAAATATTCATTATTGCAAAAAAAAAAAGTGGTTTTTTTTTATTGTTATTATTGTGTTTATATGATGCTCAGAAGTCTTTAGTCAAGACTAATTTTGTTATTTGATTTTCTAATGCATCTTCAATTGTATTGTGCATTCATTCATGGGCCATAGGATTCCTGATAATGAATTAGTTATTAACTAATAAGTCAAATTATAATGAGCTTCATACTGTAAGTCTATAATAGTTTTCATATTTTAGGATATCACTAAGAGGTACTGTACGGTATTTGCATAATAATAAATCTGGAGTGATAGATTTCTAAACAGTGTAGTTTTTTATATTATGAAAATGAAACAGATTAATTACCATATTAGTAGATTAATTCTTTATTCTATTGATGTTTGGATTTATTAAGTGGTTGTTGTTGTTGTTGTTGGTTAATGTTATGTTGTTGTTGTTGTGTTGTGTTTTTGTTATGTTGTTTTGTGAGATTTTTATACAATAACATTGAATAGGCCTAAAATGTAGGTCTATATCCACACAAATTCCCATAATCCCTAGGGTGTGTTTTTACTGAGAATTAAGATAGAAACTCTTCTCATCAGTTCTGTTATTAATCAGACTGCCAACATCAGATGAGAAATTGTTCTTAACCTGCTGAAAACAGACTGATCATGCCACCAAAGAACAGTTCTTTGGCATGATAAAAGAATCCATTTCTTGTATGGGCCCAGTTTTGAATGTCTCAAGAAATTGATCTTTGAAAAATCTATTTTAAAGAAATAGTTTTTCTAAGCCAATAGCCCTATAAACACACCAAAAAAATTATTGGTAAAAATGTTTCACATTTCTAGAGACACAAGAAGTAGGATTGGGAGTGGCAGGAGGAGGTGGGGGCAAGGAGAACCCAGTTAATAGGTTTTATTACAACCTCCTACATTAGTTGCTAATTGATTTGGTGTTTTATAACATCTATTAGTAAAACTGTCTAATTACAAGGTGCTATTGCAGGTCTTTTAAAATTCACTACTACATTTGAAAATAACTTCATTCATGTTTACAATCACTATGATCACGTCAACAATTTCTGAAGAAAGCAACTACATGTAGGGAGGAGCAGAAATATGGCTTTCTGAAATTTTTATGCATGTTTTAGATACAGATGTGACTGAGAAGGGGGTGGGAGAAGGGTTAATGAAAGATTTTTCATAATAAAAAAAAATGTCAATTGCTGTTAAGATTAAAACAACAACCAATACAATAATGACACACACAATTGAATTAATTAATTGAGCAAACAAGATAATTAACACTG